GGTCAGAGCGAGCCTTGCTACCTTTATGGATGTACACCTTGAAGACGGCGTGCGCATTCTTCTGAATGGCCTCCATCCCATCCTCCTCCCGTTGATCATGCAGAAGAAGGCACATACCCTTGCGAGAGGCACGTGCTGTCCGCCCCGCACGATGGACGAAAGTCTCTACGGACATGTTATGTGACGGCAGGGATAGCATCAACACCATGTGCACATCCACAAAGTCCAAGCCACGAGCGGCTAGATCAGTGCACAGAATTACTGACGCGGTTTTACTGTTAAAGTCCCCCATCGCGGTGATTCTGTCCAGCTCATCTTTAGTCGGGCTTAGGGAGCGGAAGGACACCTGCGTCTGCTTGGAGAGGACAGTCTCGAGCTCCTCAATCTGTCGCCGGGTGCCGAAAACCACAGTGCGGCCGAAGCCCTCCGTGGCAAGGAGCCGCATCGCCGTCTCCACTCGAGAATCGTACGGGCAGTGCATCGCGAAACACTCAAGCTGTTCCGGTAGCTTAGCTGTGCCAACCGTCACAAGCTGGTAGTAGTACTTCTTTACCCCAAGAAACCCTGCCTTAATCACCCAATTAGGGATCGTCGCGCCACAGAGCACATAGTGGTGGGAGCGGAAGTCCGTCATAAGCCCTTGCGTCAGCGAGCCGTTTGCCTTGCGGATGAACTTGAGCAAGTTTCGCATGCGACGCCCAATGTTGGAGAAGCGCGGACCAAGCGTTAAGTCCACCTCGTCCACCACAATCGCGCGCACCTCCGCAGCATTCACCACACCAACGGTCGAGCCCTCCTCTGCCTCGTCATTATCCTCATCCTCGTCCACGTTGGCGTCACCGTCTTCCTCCTCCACCTCTTCCTTCTCATGTTCTTCACTCTCACGCTTTCGCTTTTGCCCCCCGCGGGTGTCATCGTTCCGATTGCCGCGAATAGCCTCGTCGATTGAACGCACCGTACCAACCAAAATGTTACAGCGTTGGGTGGCGAGGTCCTCAAACCCTGCGACGCGGATGCATAATTTGGGATAGATCTGCTCGAGAACCCCTTTTGTCTGCACAGCCAACTCGTTGCTAAAGACAAAAATAAGCAGGAATGGACCGACGGCGGTGGTGGTGGTGGCATGTGGCTCGAGTATCAAATGCCTCTCGATGATGGGCAGTGCGTACGCCAGTGTCTTGCCACTCCCCGTACGGCTGTGGAGGATGACGTCGCGGCGGTTGAAGATACCGCGGTAGCACTGCGCCTGGCACGGCAGGAGGCCACTGAAGCCCATCTTCTTCAACGCCTTTGTCGTTGCGGCGGTCATCAACGGTGCCTTCTTCGGCGCCTGCTGCTCATCTCTGTTTTCCTCTGGTTTGGGGTGCTGTGGCCTTTCAAGTGCGTACTCCTTCTGCAGGCGCTCAAAAGAGAGATCGACGGCCTCGTCAGTGTGGAACACGACGGTTCCCGCCTTCTTCACTTTGCTGCGTTGAGTACGAGACGCGCTCTCCCAGTTGTAGAGGTTCATGGTTAGGAAACTACTTCACGTCAAGCTGGGGGTGATGTGAGGGAAAACAAACAATGACAAAAAAGAAAAGAAAAGAAAAGAGAGAGCGTGTGTGTGTGTGTGTGTGTGTGTGTGTGTGTGCCTGTAAGTGGTGCGATGTGTATGTGTTTATAGCGAAGGTACTGAAGCGGTGGTACACGCAGGGCAACGCATATGAGAGGCACACGTAGCGCAAACCTCACTCAATAATGATCACGTCCCCATCATCATCATCGCGCGCCTCCTGCACGCCGATCGCCGACTCCTCAGCGTCGTGCGACTGTTCTCGCCATTCCTCAACAGTTGAGGAGGAAGAGGAGGTAGAAGAGAGCGTCACGACGACCGCTTCATCAGGTTCACTCCGCCGCCGCTTCTCTTTCCCTTTTGCAGAGAAAAAACTTGTCAGCGCCAGCTGCTGCCCACGCCCCGAACCGCACTCATCGACTTGCTTCTTAAAAGATCCGATCGTCAGCGTCACCGCGTTGACAGCCACACCTGGCTGTGCCACAAGAGTCGCTGTGACGCATTGCATCGCGGCGGCTATCAGCGTTTCCGTTGTCACAAGCTCCGGCAACACTAGTGTCTTGTTGACAACGCCACCGAGCTGGCTGAGACCCATGTTGCCAAGCTTGACATTAAGCGTGTGCCCCTTTGTTTGGTATGTGTCACAGAACCCTCTGTAGCGCGCACACAACTCACTACTGAGCACCGTGACCCACTTGCGCACCCCGTCAGGCGAGGTCGCGGCTGGACGGAATACCTTGGATGCCATCAGCGTTTTTGCAATCGATCGCTTGGTGATATTCTCAGAGCTGTAGCCGCGCAGACGTTGATACGCGTATTCAGCATCGTCATCACCAAAAACGCCACGCATCACTTCTTTGGGAACCAGCCACGCCTCACAGCAGAGCTCCGCACCACCACAGATGTGGCGAATAGTCTCACCAAATTTCCCACCAAAGCCGCGGAAATTGTGGTACTGCGTGTCCCATATGGCAGAGGCAACACGGTCGGGAAGCAGCAGCGTCTGCTGGTTTGGCTTGTGGCGTGATGATATGAATTTTGAAAGGAGCTTATTGTGTGCAATGCCTGCGGAGCAGTCGTAGTGAAGCTCTTGCCGTATCTTCTGCCGAATACTCCATACCACCCGTGCAGCTGCGCCGAGGAGCAGCGCATGCTCTAAGCTCCCTTTTGGGTGCATTGCAGCATCAAACACGTCGCAAAACTTTTTTCCGCGCACGCGAAGCCAGACGTCTATCTCATCCTGACGATCCGGTATTACATGTGTAGACGGCTCCAAGATATCCTCCAAGGAGTGCAGGCGTTGGGAGTGCAGCAGCTCAACCGATTCCAACTCCCGCTGTGCTGCCACCGTCACGTCGAGGAATGCTTCATCGACGCTACCCTTCTCTACCTCCACCCCTTCAAAGCTGCGCAGGATGTTAAAGATGTGACGGCTGGCTTCCCGGTAGGGCTCCAGAGCAACTTTGTGCGTTCCCTTGCGCGGGTTTACGTGGTACTTGTACTCTGACTCCCCCACTGCGTAGGTGGCGACGTGTGAAACTCTCACATGGGGACACTTTTCTCGCGCCTCCTCCACCGTATTGAAGCGGGCAATGCCGCAGCTACGCGCTGGATAGTTTACGGCGATTAGGTTTCCCCACTGTGAGAGAATGTACGGTTCGGTGCGGCAGTCAATGCCAAGCCGCACCGCCTCCACTTGAGCATAGAAACAGTCCATGTCTAAGTGGGCTATGCACCGCATGGCTCCGGCGACAGCATCACCAGCTACTCCTCAAGCATGCACCCACGTTTCCCATACCGGTGAACAAAACAAAAGCAACAAGAAGCAATGTGTCATCACTGCCAAGCAAAAAATAAGCACAAAGAAACCTCTTTCATACCAAGTGTTTCAAGATGTATCACTTGAACCAATACAGAATAGTCCAGATTTTATTTTCCCTAAAAAAGAAAAGTCAGAAACGCATGGGAGTTTGCTTATTTTGTCTTTGCCAAACATCGCATTCAAATCAAGAGTCCAAAGGAAAGCCCCATTCAAGAATACAGCAGTGATGCTGACTCCGAGAAAGTGCATTCACCCCGCCCCTGCCCCGCGTGGGAGTGGGGAGGGACGAGTTGGGTGGATTTGCAAGCCTTACATCTTGCAACCAACTACATAATGAAAGCCATGAAGAGATCCATATTACTCCACAAAGCGTAAATTACGATCGTTCCACTCGCTGGTTCCCAATAAAAAGCATTAGAAAAAAAAGCAGTTCTCCTTCATTGACTCTGTCTGTTTCACCTGTCTCCTTTTTCCCATTCACTTCATCTTATCAATTTTTTTGCCGTTTCACACGCCAACTATGCGTATAGAGTGGGGGAAAAAAGGCTTTGGTACAAACCTCATCAACCCAACTATCAAAGATTCACTTTCCACATCCCAAGTCTGAGTTCATCCAAAAGAATAATGTGTCTTTTGTTGACCTTCATTTGTTTCATTACCGGCGTTTTTTGGTACCCTCTTATGTAATGACGCTCGGCGCGTCACGACCAGTGAGCTTGGAAATCTGCGAGAGGTTCAGCGCAATATTGATAAGCTCTCTCAATGCAGAGCGAACTGTGGGAAGAGTACCGTCCCTGATGTGCTGCGCAACCGCCTTGGGCTCCATATACTGTTCAATGTAGAGCCGAATCGTGGCTCCAGTCGAGCCGGTGCCGCTGAGCCGGAAGACAAACCGCGAGCCATCCTCAAAGAGGACGCGAATACCCTGATTCTTGGATACAGAACCATCAACAGGGTCGTGGTAATCGAAGTCGTCGACTTTGACACACCGCTTTCCCTGCAGTGGCGGGATATTGCTTGGTTGCTGTTTCCACACTGTTTCCATTACGGCCTTGGCAGACTCCTCAGCCACATTTTCGTAGTCATAGCGGCAGTAGTAATTTCGACCATACTGCATCCAGTGTTCCTCGACAATTTCTCGCACACCGACAAGCGGCTTCGACGGATCTGCGTTCCTGCTTGCAAGAATAGAAAGCCAAAACAGCGCCGCCCACACACCATCCTTCTCACGGATGTGATTGCTACCGGTTCCAAAGCTTTCCTCTCCGCAGATGAGTGGGTTGTAGTCCTCGCCTCCAAACACTTCATGGCTGTCCATTAGGTTTCCAAAAAACTTCCAACCTGTGGGAACCTCGAAGAGTTTGAGACGCTTAGCCTCCGCAACACGGTCTAGAGCCCCACTGGTTGGCATGGACCGCGCCACAGCCTTGAGACCACCGCGCTGAGAAAAAAAGGGTACAACATTTGCGTATGCAGCAAGAATGGCTACAGAATCTGACGGAGTGACGAAGAACCGTCCACCAAGGATCATGCTTCGATCAGCATCTCCGTCAAATACTGCAGCGAAATCTGGAACCTCGCCAGTGACGTTGGCGTCCGGTGCGCCCTCTGAATCAAGCCCCACTGCTGCCACTAGATCTTTTGCATAAATGAGGTTTGGATCTGGGTGATGCCCACCGAAGTCAGGAAGTGGTGTGGCGCCGCGCAAAGCACTCTCTGGGACTCCCAAACAGGAACCAAAGATAGCCTTTATGTATGGACCACCAATACCATTTAAAGCGTCAAGCTGGATTTTAAAATCATGTCGATCCAACAGATTCTGGATACTCTGAAAATCAAAAATCTTCGTCATGCCATGAACGTAGTCATCGGTGCTGTCAATAACTGAAACCTTAAAGGTTTCAAACATATAATCCCCTTTGTTCGTCACATCCACAGCATCGAGGTTGGTGCACATGAGAAAGTGATTGATTTTTAAAGTTTCCTCGTAAATAGCAGAGGTGAGTTTCTCTGCCGCTGGACCACCGTTTTCTGTGTTGTACTTGATGCCAAAGTCTTCTTCAGGACCACCAGGGTTATGACTGGCAGTGAGTATGAAAGCTCCCTTGGCACTAACTTGTCCACACTTTCGGTTGCGAATAATATTGGACACAGCAGGAGTCGAAAGAAGACCATCTTTTCCCACCCAAACATTTAAAACACCGTTTGCTGCAGCAATTTTAATTATGACCTGGATGGCCTCTGGAAGGAAGTATCGGCCGTCGCCGCCAAGAACGATGGTGTCAGGGATCCCTCCATGATTCTTGATTGCATTGAAGGTGCTTTGAACGAAGTTTGCCAAATAGTTTTCTTGCTGGAAAACCTTCACTTTTTTTCGAAGCCCAGACGTTCCGGGCTTTTGGCCAGTAAAGGGACGGGTAACCAACTTGTTCACGACGAGCATTGGCGAAATATTTGTGTACAATACGTTTTTTTTTTCCTTTATGATCTGCAGAGCGATCAAAAAAGAACAGATAAAGCAGTATACAAGGAAAAGTATTAATAAAACTACTCCTTTCCCCATAATGTATATAGTACACACAAAACTAAGAAAAAAAATGTACACGGTGCTGGAAACAGAGTCTGAGACTGCACATGGAACGCAACAGCTCTCACTGCTTAGAGGGTTTCTTCCCATCTTCTTCCAGTCGCTTAAGACGGCGAAGGATGCCATCATTTGTTGCTCCCTTCAGATTTGCAACCACCACTGAGAGAACATCAGGTGGCGGTCGCTTATCAAGGAGTGCACTAAGGATTTGCGGATTGCACTTAGTCCCCTGAGCCATGACGTGACGCAGAACGTGCAGAGCTTCCATCCAACCGCTGGAGTGCCCCATCAGCATTGAGGCTGTCGAGGTGGTCGCCGGGTTGCGATCACTCACAAGGCGAAGAACATTTTTCACCTTAATACTCGGATGATGCTGTAGAAGGCATGTAATGGCGCGTCGATGAAACTCCTCTGTGCCGATGCGATCGAGGAGGTAAAGAGCGGACTCCCAATCGCCATCGCGTTGACAAACCCTTGCGAAGGCACTCAACTGGAGTTCCTCTAGAACGTACCCGCTGGCGAGCATTGAAGCAATCGCCTTTTTTGTCGGTTCGCGGATCCGTTGCGTCGCCCCAGAAACAGCGTTAAGCTTCCGTAGAAAAGGGACGGGGGTCGCACAACGACTAAGAATATCGTATTTCTCACAACTCGGCAGTGAAAGCTTGTGCGATAACATCAAGGCGGCCCGCCAGCTATGGCAAGATGCCAGCCACAAGGCTAATTTCTCCTCAACATGGAAGCGCTCAAGTGCAACATGCCACAGTTGAGGACAACAAATACCGACCACCTTCGCAAAAACATCACTTGATTCCTCCACTACTCGGTTCCCAGCAACAAGGGATAAGGAAAGTTTCCACGAAATTCGTTCACCTCTCAGTGCTGCCTTTGCAAGGTAAATCACAGATGTAATGCTGAGGGGTTCACCGGAGTTCAGTGCTGCCAAAGCTTTGACCGATCCGCTTGACTGCCAAGAAGGTTTTTGCGTGGCCGGAACCGTCTGTTTTATCATCCACTGATTCCATTTTGTCATGTTGGTGTGGCTGACTTCAGGCATATTGAGTCGCATAAGTGCAGAATCTATGTTGTCTTTTTGTCTGCTTCCAGCGAACATGCGGCTAAACATGAGCCATTCACTTAGCTTTTTTTTGCTTGTTTTATCTGGCGACTCAATCAGATGGAAAAATCTCAGCGCTTGGTGCCAGGTTGTCCACCTGATTACGAAGTCAAACAGACGGTTTTGGGCTTCGCTGTTGCCCTTAGCACTCTGTAGCATCGCGACTGTGACGTCATTGGCGATCGTAGAAGGGATACACGTACTCTTTGAACACACATACAGAAAGTGACCCAGCTCGTCTTGATGCGACACATCAGTCGACCTCACCAGAGCCAAAGCTGTACACCAGTTCTTCTCCACCATCATGCTCGCCAAGTTAATCCTGGCCTTGGCAATGCCCACATCTTCGGAGTGGACGCTGCCTTGAAGCGCCAAAAGCCCGCGAACCCATCGACCGTTCCGAGCACACTCCGAGACGAACAAGGCCACTATTGACATGATCTCCTCAGTGTTCTGCACTGTTATTTTTTGAGAGACATGAAAATACCCCGCAACCAAAAAATATATATATACACACAAAGGCACATCTGTGAATCATAAGTGTACAACGGGCATTGTTCGAATTCATTATAACAAGAGAATCACACAAAAAAAGAAGCTCGCACAAAAAATGAACCATTATCGTCATTTACTCCATATTTAGGGACGCAACAAGCTTTGCAGCGACTGAATATAGCACCTCTGTGGTTGGGCTCACACAATCAACTTTATCGGTTAAAGGAACACCTTCCTCGCACGCTTTCATCAATACAGGATCCAAGGGAACCTCTCCCCAAAGCGGTATATCAAACTCTTTACTCAAACGTTTCCCAGCCCCCTCAGAGTTGGCACGGGGAAAGATGACGGAACTTCCGCCACAGTTGGGGCATACGAAGCCACTCATATTTTCCACAATTCCCAGTACCGGCAGCTTTGCCTTCTGACAAAAGTTTACCTCTCGCCTTACGTCAGCTTCTGAGATCAACTGGGGTGTGGTAATTAGGACGGCACCGCTAACGCCATCACACTGCTGCAAAAGTGATGCTGCAGTGATGTGTTCATCTGAAGTTCCAGGAGGAGTGTCAATAAGCATAATGTCAAGGTCGCCCCAAATTACGTCTTTTAGAAACATCTTAATGACACCATTCTTTCGAGGGCCTCGAAAGAGAACGGCTTCGTTTTTCTCTCCCAGTAGATAGTGCATAGACATCATAGAAACCGTTTCATCGATTAGAACAGGTTCGATGCCAGCAGCGCTTTGATGCGCATCCTCCCCCCGAACACCCGTTAGGCGTGGAAGCGAAGGTCCACAAATATCCAGGTCCACTACTCCTACGTTCAACCCCCTTTTTCCGAGGAAAAAAGCAAGCTCCTTCGTAAGTGTACTTTTTCCAACACCACCCTTTCCACTGATGATCATCACCTTTTTCTTGACACCTGAAAGACGCTGTTTAATCAATTCAATATCCGGATCGGGTCCTTTAGGTGCAGAGGCACATATGGATGCGTTTGGGCATCCTTGGCAAGAGGCAGCAGTTCCGGCCTCTGGGCTCTCAGGGCCAACACACTCGGCATTTGCATTTTGCATCACTTTGCTATTAACAAGCTTAACGGAAAAGGCTTGAGGAGGTTCACACCCTCTAACAAGGAAGCAAATTACCAACCAGAAAAAAAAACAAGCATTTTGTAATTATCATGTGAACGAGGAGATGCCAAGAAAAAAAAAGCAAAATCATACCTCACAGCCGTCACGACGTAGCAGCTTCCCTTATAACACATCAGGGCACGCTGATGTTGGGGCAATGTTTATCTATCTGCTCAATCACCATCCTGAAACCTCGCTGAACATTGACCCCAGGAAGAAGCTTGTCTTCTTCATCTTGTGAGACTAAGAGATGCGGTGAGTCCTCAAAGAGCCAGCCACTAAGAGGCATTCGTTGAACGGGAATAACTGTGGTTAAAGGAACCTTCTTTCCACACAGGATACTTGTTTCGTATGCCCAAAGCTTGGCAACGTTTCGTAAGGTATACCCTCCTCCTCCCACCACCAGCATGGGTAGCCCCAGTTTCTTCACCTCCTCAAGACACTTTCCATGTCCCCAGGACGACAGATTGAAATGCCCGAGGCGATCCCCTGCCAACGAATCAGCACCACATTGCACAACCACGACATCAGGGCTAAACCTCTTGGCAATTGAAGAAAGAGCATGTTCAAAGATCGTTGTGTAGAAGAAGTCATCTATGCCATCCCACATGGCCAAATTCATTGTATAATGACGTCCGTTGCCAAATCCAATGTCGCGTGGATGCCCGGTGCCAGGAAAGAAAGACTCACCAAACTTGTGGAGTGAAAGCGTAAATACTCGCTTGCTTTGACAGAAGGCCTCATCAACACCATCTCCGTGATGCATGTCAAGGTCTACATACAAGACTCTCTCGTGGCACTTTAGCAGCTCAACAATCGCAAGAACAATATCATTCACATAGCAAAAACCAGAACACTCTCCACATTTTGCGTGATGCATACCTCCACCCCAGTGGATAGCGATATCAGCTTTGCCAGCGTTCAGCAGCACGGCTGCCATAAGAGAACCACTTGCAGTGGATAGAGAGTGCTCGATTATTCCCTCTACAGGTGGACAATCGCCTGAAAAAGTGACTTTGGAAACCTCTGTATTCCACAACCAGCTTCGAGAATTGTGAAGTCCAAGATTCGAAATGTAGTCTTCAGCATGATACTTGAGCAACTCCTCTATGTCGATAAGGGGCGGCACAACCAATCGACAATGACGGTCTAACCCTAGCGCTCGGATAAGCTCCATCGTCACCAACAATCGATAAGGTTTCATCGCATGTTGTGGCACTAATGCGGAAAGATTGCAATCAGCGCAGTGACGGGATGTGTCGATGAGTGCGACGCGGCCACTTTCTTCGGTCGACGCCATGGGTTGCAAAACGAAACCTTTAAAGATAGCGATGGACAAGGCAATGAAGTAAAAAATTAAATACTTGGAGACACGGTCTGCAATGGAAAAAGAGAAAAAACAAAACCCCATGTGAAACTGTGGCGCGTCCCGCCGGCACCCCGTTCACCTTTTTCCCGCCCACTCGCAGGAAACGCCGCCCCGCCACCCGAGATCCAGAGGGAGAGGGGGGGGCGAAACATCCGCCGGCCACCCGCGACAAGAGGAGAAACAACGCCGGGGCGGCCTGCGAGAGGCCGTGGCCGGTGTCGGGGGTGCGGGGTCTTTTTTTTTATTTCGCTTGGCCAAGCCTTGGGCGGGTGTGCTGCTTTCTGCGGCCTGCGGGGGCCCCCGGGGCGTATCGGCCTGCAAAAGGCGTTGGGTGTGTTTTTGTTGTGTTTTTTTAAACATTTTGTGCGCTTCGACTCTTTTTCCCCTGAAAAAAAAAAGAAAAGCGATGCTTCGTCGAAAGCTACTTTCTTCGTGCAGAGTCTTCTCTCAGCCGCTCTTGGACGCTAGGCGTTCAGTGATTGCTGAAGACCCCTTGGAGCGGGAAAGGGAAAAGGAACTTCGCCAGAGGGTAATTCAGAGATACCGTGGGGTGAATCTGCCTGAGTTAACCGACTTCCGCTATGGCCACTTTGCCGCGCAAGAAGGCGCAACAACGTCTGCGGCATCACAAGCATATGCTACAGTTAACAACGGCTTTCCCATGGGAGGAGCGGGTTCGTCTGGAAGGCAAGGCGTAGATTGGCTTATGCTGTTTACAGGTTTTGCATTGGTCTATGTGTCATCCAAGTTTATGCTACAACGCTTTTCATTTGGTGATATAGATAACATCAATATGCCACTATGGTCAGCAAGTTTGGAAACACAAGCAAAGTATTTACTATTTTCAATTCAATATGACGTGCGTACCCGTGAACAAATCAGACAGGCGTACCACAATGTTCGCCAGACAAATCCTTTTACCGATTTTTTCCAGTGGCTACGGGTTCAACATCCTGAATACGGCCACGGTGTTCTTTACAATTACGAGAATGCTGTTGGTACATTGGTTTCCATACTTTCAAGTGGTAGTTCAGACTCGTTAATGACGTTGGCCCGCAGTGTTCAAAATGCTCTTCGCAAGCAAGGCGGAAGTCCTGCACAGCGAATCGATGATTTTGTGACAGATTTAGGGGCTTTGGCAGGTATGAGGAGGGTCCAGGGAAATACCTTTTCTACTGGATACGTAAACTCACCGCCACCTCCACCGTCTGTACAGGTGTATGGAACTGAACCAGTGACGATTCTGAATGCTCTTGATGCCACTCCTAGCAAAGAGCACAGTTCTGTTCCTTTTCAGTAGACGAACTCCGAATTCTTATCATTTTTTAAAGGCTTATTTGCTTCGTAATATTAGCCAGTGCTCGTATCGATATGTATCCTACAAGTCCTCTTTCTTTTCTATGGTTTCGGTTAAGATCCAAGTAAACAAAATGGAGGCGAGGCGAGGGCCACTGTCCCTTACACACGACCAGGTCGCGGAGCTTCAAGAAACCTTTAACCTCTTCGATCTTGCGGGCGAGGGTGTGATTGAGATGCCGAGAGTGAAGGCATTCATGCTCAAACTAACACCGGGTTTGACGAAAGATCTGTATGCTCGTGTGATATCAGATGCAAAACTGGAGGGTACAGATGCAATTAACTTTGCGCAGTTCTTTCTTATTGTGTCTACAATAGGTACAGTATTGCCTCATTCTGGAAAATACAATCTTGACCAACTCAGAGAGGTCTTCGAGGCGTTTGATCCTCGTCACAATGGTTATATTGATCTGAACCACTTTATGCAAATCATGCTAGAGGAGGGGGAACCCCTTTCGCAGGTGGAAGGAAAGGAGCTCATACTGCATTTGCACCGTTTCGGTTGCTTGCGTAAAGGGGAAGTGAACTACCGTAAGTTTATGTCCAAGGTGTTCTCAAGTGATCCGGCAAAGGTTTTTTCTTCTAGTCCTTAAAATGAATATGTATGTAATTGCTTCTGTTTAGTTTTTTGTATACTCTATACTACTGCTCCTTGCATCCAACCCTCTAAAATATTATATCGCATGTGCGGGACAGTGATTTTGACTGTCTTCTGAGAGTTAATCGAGAACAAATAACCGGCTCCGTTTTTTTCCCTTTCCCCTTCCCTTTCCTTCCCTTTCCTTCCCTTTAGTTTCCTTTCCTTTCCTTTCCTTTCTCTTCCATTCGCTTGTCTTCTTTTCCACCCTTTTTTAGGAGATTTTTATGGTTCAGACACATCGAGAAAACATCTGGGCACGGGCCAAGGATGGTTTTAAAAATGTGCGGATAACGAAGCAGGAGGCAGCTATTTCTGCACTCCTGGTAGTTCTTCTGTATGTTTCATCGGCGATGATGTTCTTCAGCATGAATTTCTGGTTGTGGTCTTTCAGCGAGGGATTGAAACGAAGCTACACTAGCATAATCATTCCATCTATGGGTTGGGCCATCCTCTTTTTTGCCTCTGCTATGGCTCTTCGTGTGGTCCAGTGGTTTCGTGGTCGCTCCGAAAACTACTTCTTCTGGGTCTGCCGCAAAGGCATATTGTTGTTGTTTTTAATCGGCCTATTTGATTCGCTCACAGGCCTTTTGGCCATGTACGCTGCAGTGCATGTTCCAGTGATACTTCAATCTGCAATAATATCAACAGGTCCCATTTGGACGTACGTTATCGCCGCTTTTTTCTTTCCCGAAAGCCAGCCGCCTTTTTCTCCTGTGCTGTTGATAGTTGTCGCTTTCACAGCTGGTGGAGTTGCTTTGGCAATGATCCCGCAGATTAAAAGCCATCGTAAAGAGGAATACTTTAGTCTCCCTTGGATATTGATCTTTCTATGTGGGGTTTCATGTTTTCCTCTTTACAATGTTCTTCAGGGCCGTTTCATGCACGAATTTCGTGCATGCTGTCCGCCGTTTACAAATAAAATGGTTATGCTAACAGTAGAAACCTTTGTGCAGCTCCTTTTGACGATGATGTACTTTCCAATAGATGCTGCTCCATTTTTTGGGAAATGTGATTCCATACAAGAGTCATGGGAAATGCTAATTGCCAGCGTTAAGTGTATCGGTACATGTCCAAACAACGCCATGTACATGGTGCTCTATATACTGGGGTTCTGGATACGTCACATTGTGTTTGCGTACATGAATAGCTATTCGCCTATCGTGGCAGCGGTAACGAGCCAAATGACGCAGCCTATCAATACATTTCTTTTATTGATAATACCTTCGTGGAACATATATGGCGCAAAAGCTGAATGGTACTATACACTCGGCTGCTTCTTCTTTTTACTTATTTCAACTGTTGTTTTTGTTTGCTGGCATTTTGTTCATCGACAGCAAAACCAGCTTCAGTGGGATTCACTTTCTATACCGACAGTTGAAAATTTGATGGAAGAGGAGAACCAAGAGTAGTACTTGTCGAGCCTGAAAGCTTGAGGAGTGAGCTAACTATTCTTCTACGACAAGAGTATTGCTATATGCCATTGTGTTGAGAAGGAGAAATCATGGTGTCTCTGTTGTGGCTGCTTAATGAAACCACGAATGAAAAGCAAACAAGCTGAGAAAAACACACAATGTTTTTTTCCTCTCTTCTTCATGTTTTCTTCTGTTTTCAGAGTGGTGAACTCTAGTATGCCTCCTAAAAATCGGCAGGAGGAGGAAAAGTCAAAGCTGACTCGTATTGCTGTCGTGAACGTTGACAGATGCAAACCGTCTAAGTGCAGTCTGGAATGTAGCAAATGCTGCCCAGTTAACCTTCAAGGGAAGCTGTGCATCGAGGTACAGAAGAAGTCTACGGTTTCTAAAATCTCCGAAGAGCTTTGCATCGGCTGCGGACTTTGTGTAAAAAAATGCCCATACGGGGCTATCCAAATCATTAATTTGCCGTCAAACCTCGAAAAAGACACCGTGCACCGATATGGCCCGAATAGCTTTAAGCTTCATCGTCTGCCTCTTCCTCGCCCAGGGCAGGTCCTGGGTCTGGTAGGAGCAAATGGTACAGGCAAATCTACGGCCCTGTCTATTCTAAAGGGAAAGGTGAAACCAAATCTTGGTCGCTATCGCAACGAACCAAGCTGGGAAGAAATTTTGCGCTATTTCCGTGGGTCTGAACACCAAGCATACTTCCAGCGTATGCTAGAAGAGAAGGTGCGCTTTGTTCTAAAGCCACAATATGTGGATCAAGTCCCCAAGGCAACAAAGGGCATGGTGGGAGAACTACTCGCTAAAGCTGATGAGCGAGGTTTGAAGGAACATTTTATGAAGGTACTCGATCTGGAGAAGGTTGCAGATCGAGGCCTTGAGAAGCTCTCTGGTGGGGAGTTGCAGCGCTTTACAATCGCCGCTCTTTGCGTCCAAAATGCTACAGTCTACATGTTTGATGAGCCTTCCAGTTATTTGGATGTGCGTCAGCGGCTTACTGCGGCTCAGGTTATCCGCTCTTTGCTGAGAGCAGATAACTTTGTTGTTGTTGTGGAACACGATCTTTCGGCTGTTGACTACATGTCTGATTTTGTGTGTGTCCTGTACGGTGTTCCTGGCATTTATGGCGTTGTCACGATGCCCTACGGTGTTCGGGAAGGTATCAATATCTTCTTAGATGGATTTGTTCCAACAGAGAACTTGCGCTTTCGTGAAGAGAGCCTTACTTTCCGCATTGCCGACGACTTTGACGAGGTTACGAAGCGCAGCACACAGAACACCTATCCACATATGGTCAAAAACTTGGGAGACTTTACCTTGACAGTGGAGCCGGGTTCGTTCTCTGATTCTGAAATCATTGTGCTGCTTGGTGAAAACGGCTGTGGTAAAACAACATTTATTCGTATGCTGGCTGGTCAACAAAAACCAGACAACGGTGCAGAAGTACCGCAGCTTTCTATCAGTTATAAGCCACAGAAAATTGCACCAAAGTTCCAGGGCTCAGTGAAGGATCTACTACAGACAAAGATCTACGATGCCTTCTGCCACCCTCAGTTCCAAACAGATGTGCTAAAACCCTTGACTATTGAGGAGCTTCTTGATCAAGAGGTGCAAAACCTTTCCGGAGGTCAATTGCAACGTGTTGGCTTGTGTATTGCTCTGGGCACACCAGCAAACATTTATCTGATCGATGAGCCGAGCGCCTACCTGGATTCTGATCAACGTATCATTGCTGCCCGCGTTATCAAGAGATTCATTATGCACACGAAACGCACTGCCTTTATTGTGGAGCACGATTTCATTATGGCAACCTATTTGGCGGATCGTGTTATTGTCTACGAAGGCACGCCTGCAGTAAACTGCCGGGCTAACACACCTTGCCGACTTTTGGATGGTATGAATAAATTTTTAAAAAGCCTAGACATCACGTTCCGACGCGACCCCACAAACTTCCGTCCACGAATCAACAAACTTGACTCTGTCAAGGATCGTGAACAGAAGAGTTCCGGAAACTTCTTCTACATGATGGAGACAACAGCACCACCCGTGAAGAAGCCTGAGGGTGCAGCAGGAGACAGCGATGATGAAGGGGAAGAGGAAGTGGAAGACACGAAAACAAAAAAGCCAAAGAAGGGAAAGCACTAACTATCGTTTACCCCTGAAGGAAGTGAAGAATGAAGAACTTGGGGAGGGAAAGGGTGTAAGAAGAAGTGAAATGTGCAGGGAAAGAGATCGATGGCTTCAAAGATACCCGTTGTCCACGTAATGAGTCCACTTAAATCAACTTAATTAAAGGTAATAGCAGGAAACTGACAAACAAATGGTGCACCACTGCGAGACAGCAAACGAGTATATATATATATATATGTATATCATGAGATTTATCTTTTACCTTGAATTAAAATTAGCTGTTCTGCTTCCTGTTTGTCTTCTTTCCTTCTTTTTTTGTCTTTTCCCACGTGATACCTCGATAGATTGATTCGGGTTGTATATATAACTGCTACTACACTTGCTCGCCAGCTCCCTTCCGAATTAAGTCGAAAAGAAAACGACCAAGCACATAGGTGCGAAAAGGTGTTTCGTTTTTTTTTTGAAAAAAAAAACGAAGATACAAGGTAAGGGTGACGCATCGTAGAATATTTTCATTTGTCTGTGCGTGCTGTGTAGTGGTGTGCGTTATTGAATAGGGTTGATTTTTTTCAGTGTTGCGTGATGCAAGAACTCATCGCCGTTCGTGTGAAAGATGGGATTTTTGTCGGAAACGTAACTGCTGCACAGGACCGCGAGTTCATTTCGATGAACAAAGTTACCCATGTCATCAACTGCGCCGGCGGTGAGCTGCCCGATCTTTTCATGGACGATGGTGTGAAATACCTCACATTCCCATGGAAGGATACCCCAGGGGCGGTGTGCACTGCTGTTATGTTTGATAGCGCTGATGAAAACATCAAACGAGCCGTAAAATTTATCGATGAGGCTATTGAGGCTGGAGATTGCGTCCTAGTTCACAGCCGTTACGGTTTGTCGCGTAGCCCAGCGCTGATAGCGGCGTACTTCATCGTGAAGTACGGTTGGAAATTGGACAGTGCCATCTCTTTTCTCGAGATGGCACATAAGGATATGTCTATCAAGCCGCACTTCTTGCGACAGCTTCGTATGTTTGCTAAACGGAACTCTGTAGAACACGACGTTTTTGACCTCGATGTGGACGACTCACAGTTTGGCCTAGACAATGATCAGTGGATGCTCCGAAACACGTTGCTCAACGGCCTTATTTCCGATATGCAGCGCCAAAATGAGCTGTACAAGTTCTGCACGGGAAAGTTAGAAGTGGGGCAGCCGGTTAAACCAAGCGACTCTCGCGCAGGTACACATGGAAAGAAAAGCAGGAGGATTGTGTTCGTTGACACGAAGCAAGGAACACATGTAGACTCCGTGACTGGGTCTCCTGTGGTGATGGTGCAGCCCAAGCAACAACAACTTGACTCAAGCAATCACTTTGTCGGTTTTCAAGGCTCTGTAGCGCTACGCGCAAGACGCCGCAGCGGTAGTATCATGAGCCGCAGCATCACCCCATGCGGCCGTCGTGCGGAGTCGGACCCCCACACAAACCCACGTGGACGACAGGAGCTCTCGCTTCGCTCTGACGGGAAGACAGGACGCAGCGCTTCCATCCCAGACGGTGCGACCTCTTCACAGGCAGCGCGCACGGCGAGCGGCCACTCCACTTTGGACGGGGGAAGCCATGCAGGAGCAGAGTACCGCCACGTCGCACCACCAAACACTGTCCACGCACCCCTGCGGTCGCCTTTTGCAGCCCTCACGTCCAGCCACAAATACCGCAAAGGTTCGCCATTGCCAGCTCCAACGCACGACAAGAAACCGTCCGCTTTCATCCAGCGGCCGGCATCGGCGTCGATGGTGGAGACGCGTCCGGCGCGGACACGGGTTGCGGCCAGCACAGGATCTTCGTTTCTGAGCCGTAATTCCTTGGTGCGTAGTGGAAGTCCGACTGCGCCTGGGAATGCGCCAACCACACCCATTGGTAGCTCGTCGACAAGCCGTGTCTCGAGTTACAAAAATATTGCACCACACCGAACACAACTCAGTACCGGCCCACTCCCTGCGTGGAACTGGGGCAAATCGGGAATGTCACCATCAGTGGTCCAGCGAACCTCGCTCCGCAGCAGCCCACAGGGGTCACGTCCCAGTTCCCCAGCAGGTCGGTCTTCCTCCGCGACAAAGCAGGTTGCCTCACCTAGCAGTGCTTCGCTAGAGCTACACTTGAGCCGCGGTGTAAATGGGACCTCCAGCAGTACTATTGGGGGAAGCAACGGGGTGCTGCGTCGCCAACCACCGACAGTTATATCATCTGGCAGACGCTCGTAGAGACGAATTATCTATCATCTGTTTTAGGTGGAGGTAGGACCATTCCTTGAGTATCATTCACAATGCCATTGACACTGCAAAGGAACTGGGGTTTGGGGTGGAGAAAGACGAAAAAAAAGCCATATGTATTATCGTATGCAGTGTACAAGCGTACGCTGTGACGTTTTTTTTTTTTTCTCCCTTCTCCTTCATTCTCGTATGTGCTTTCCACTTACCCCCAGTGCAAGGTTTTGGTTATTTGCTGCTCGTTTGGGATTGGCATGGACAGCCTCTGTCGTGTCTTCTGGAGGAAGCCAGAGGCACGGTCGCCTGAGGCAGGCTATAGCAGCAATCAAAGTAGCAGCCGAACTTTAGTGCAGGGGCGGGTATGTGGTACAGCACATCGAGGCATGAGCAGAACGAGACGCTAACAACAAGGTTTGTAAGAACACACACACACACACATACACACACGCACACAAACACGTACATGAATACGTACAGAATCAAAAAAAGCAAGGACAAGGGGAAAATGGGGAATGCGGACCACCGATAAAGGCAACGTCCCCCGGTGTCAGCAGTGGGCGTGTGGTGTTGTGGAGCCGAACTCTCTTCCCCCGCGACTCTGTGCGAGCGATGGAGGTGGCGGTAGGCCCTCTGCACCCATCCCTTTGTTCACACTGTTTTTTTTTTTTTTGTTACATCGTAGATGTTTTTATATAACGAGGGTGTGATCCAAATGCGGCATTAGTTAATCAATGTGTGCGGGGCGAAGGAGAATATTGCGATAAAGGTGAACAGTGGTTATATAGATAGAAAAGAAGAGGAGATCAAAAGAGAAACAATCACATCGAGAAAAGCAGCTCTGCTCTCTATTTTCCCTCTTTTGGCTCTTTACCATAAGCTTCGCTATGATGATAAGAACGGGAGATGGAGGACGTGCATTCCAAACAATAGTGTGGGGGACCGCCAAGGAAAACCAGAGTCGGTAAGACATATACACACGACGTCATACGTGTACTCCATTACCTTCTTATTATCCTTTTATGATTTGATGGGCGACGTCTACCGCATGCCTGGATATGTGCATATGCACGAGTGTTCTCTTTCACTACCCGTTGCATAACCACACCATTCGCCGGCGTGCCCTCTGTGTGCATGCGTGTCTGAGAGGTTGATGCCGAACTTCATTTCGCTCCTCCCCTCCGTGGCCCCGCCACATTGTTATGCTTTTTTTTTCGCGTTCTCTTTCTTTTCGTGTTTTTTTCTCTCTGCCTTACCTTGTATTTTCACGATTGAATAGTAATGGGCAAAGGGCACGTGGTGCTTGATGACGAAGGGGAGATCTTCGAGGATGACCCAACGGTTGGCCGTGGGGTGCCGAAGGACCAGGCGGGGCAACTGCAGTGGCAGCCGCTCACACCGGATCCACCGACAGCAGAGCTGAATGCTGCTGTCGCCGCCGCTCTGGCCGCATTGCCCAAGCCCTCATGAGAGCGATGTGAAGAAGGCAGGTGCTGGGAACGTGTTTGCATCTATGTATGCATGCAGGCTTGTGTGTGTGTGTGTGTGTGTGGTTATCTGTGTGCCCCTGTGCATTACTATTGCCATTATCGTTTTCAGTCCTCGTCCACCCGTGCTTGTTTATCTCTTCCTTTCTTTTCTCCCTCTCTTTGTTTTCTGTTTGCCGGTGTTTTCACAGCAGCGGGAAGGTGTGTGCGTGTGTGTGTGTGTGCGTCACACATCTCCTCTCACATTTATCCGTCCCAAAAGAAACGGGATCAAGAAGGCCGAGCGTGCAAACGAAGAGTAACACCACACGAACTTTGGAAGACTCAATGTCGTACAGTATCCGCAAGTTGAAGCTTCTGGTGGAAGATCCCAGTGGCACACTGCGGGACAACCTAGCCGTCGCGAAGCTTTTTCTCGCCTCCGAAGATGACAGAGAGTTGGAGGAGTTTCGCAGCCTCTTGGACCGCGAGGTGCACTACGCTAACTTCTGGGGTGTGGTGCGTGGCCCCATCGCTGCCCTTGCCGTGCTTGAGAAGGAGCGGACAGCGCTGCGCCTCACGTGGACTACGCGCGTAACTGCGATCACGGCCAATACATTCGAACGACAAGGTTATGCGCACTTCTTGTCTGGCGGGATTGCGTCGATCCCGGGTGTTGGGAACTGGTTCACAAGGTTCACACAGCAGCGCGTGCGTGAGTCGTTGGTGCTGAGGGACGGTAAGGTTGTGTTTCGTGACCTGAGCTTTCAGTGGGGCCTCGGTGTCCATTGACTAATGTATGCGGTCCACACCCGTTGAGTGAGGGTGGCTCCGGGCTGAAAGTGGAAGGGATGAAGGGACTAAGCTGCCTGAGGCCTCTGCCGCTCAACTTGTTGCCGTAGGCCTGTCGTGTTGATGTTTGTCCTCCCAAAAGGGAACAACCCCTTTTTTTGTCTTCCGATGTTTTAGAAATATGACGTCGAAGGGAGGGCGTGCAGGATGAGGAGACAGAAAAAGGGAGTGGATGCGGAAGGGAAGTTGTTCCGTGAGGGTGCTGCTGCTCTCTTGATGGCAACACTCAATGTGTGCAACATGGGGATTAGGAAGATGGTTTGTATTGCCAGTGACACTGTGTAAGGCGGATTGCCTGTGTTTAACGGCGGCTTATTGTGAGTGCCTACTTCCACGTATATTCTGATCAGCTGTGTAGATGCGGCTTAATGGCGAAGCCCTATGAAGACAAATGCACAGCGTCGTGGTTTGTGCTGACCGATCAGCAAAACCCCACTGTGAAACGAGGTGCTGAAGAGTGGGGAGGATGAGGATGGGTGATGAGAGAAAGGTGTCAATGAGGCGCCATTCGTTTTAGCGTCTTGCCTAGAGATGACGAAGGGTCTGTGACACTAACATGCCACCAGGACTTCCTTAGTGGTTTCTTCGTCTATTTCTTGGTAAAGTTTCTCTCCTTTCTGGTTGGCTGCCTCTCTGCTTGCCTTCTAGTTCCGTTTCCTTCCCGTTTTTGTCCCCCTCTCTCCTTGTGGGAATTGTTTGCCCCACAAACATTGACGCTTTTCTTCATGTCTCCTCGTCGTAGCTACAGTCAATGCGACATACGACAAGACACTTCAAAAAAGTTACCGGGGATGCTTCCCGCCCAGTGAATATGGGTAGTGAGGTGCTGGATGCTGCGAGCCGCGATGATGTGCGCACGTTTCTTTCACTCACCGACGCCAGCCTTCGATATTTGACGAAGAATGTCTGCTTTGTGGGTAAAGCTGCTGACCTCGCCACCCTCGCTGAGCGGCTTGAATCCTGCCACGAGGAAGAGTTTGGGATGTCCCCGCTTTTCTGCCCTGACTTGATCGACGAAACATGCCAGCGCGGCATATTTCCACTAGCCATACCTATCGGGGGTGGGCACTACTTATACGCTCCGAAGCTACACATACAACGCAGCTTGACTCAGCTTCTGCCACCAGTGAGAGGATTTCCTATTAGCAGCAACGAAGGCGAGGGGGAGTTTACAACGGCGCGCCTCGGTGTTTCAAAAAGATATCTGCGTGAGCAAAATAATGTTACTCGTGCAGCTTCGTTTGATGTCTTCATCAACCGTATGGAAGATCTGGCGCCAGTACTGGCTCTCATTCGAGCACAACACGGCGAGAATTGGCTTTGCCGCGCACTCCGCGTCTGCTTTGTGAATATGTTTGCGAATAGGAGCCGTTATCGGACCAAAGTTATCGTTATAGCTGTTCGTCGCCATCGCTACGACGCCAGAGGTGATGCTAAAGTGGAGAACACGACACATGGGGCGCTCATTCCAACTGACGGTGCCCCTGTTGATGAAGGCGACCTTGTCGCCGGTGAGTTGGGTTTTATTGTTGGTGATACCTACTGCTCTGCCACTGGGGCGTACAGCGCGAGCGGCGCAGGGACACTGCAGCTGGCGGTCACCGGCGCGGCGATGCGTTCGGTGGGGTGCAGTGTGTGGGATTTAGGCATGATGATGGAGTACAAAAACCATTTTCTGGGGTGTGTGCCACTCCCCCGGAAGGAGTGGATAAAGTTTGTGCAGGACCACACCAGGGACAAGTCTGTGCCCGAAAATATTGCACGATTGCTAAGTGAGCGGTACAGCAGCGGGGTACCAGTGCGAGAGCTCCTGAGAGCGTGACGGATGGGGGAGGTCGAAGGCATCGTGTTAGACATTAGACGCCTGTGCTTATGTGTGTGTGCCCCTTCCCCTGCAACCATGTGCGTTGTGTCATGTGCCTTTTTTTTTGTATTTTGGCTTATTCCTCGTTGCGTGTATGCGCCATGCCCACATTATTTGTTCTCACGTTTCTCTGTTCCTCCTCTCTCTCTCTCTCCCTCACTATCCTTATCACCTTGCGCGTGTTGTGTGTGTGTGTGCGCGCAGAACATCATGCCCGCCACCAAGAACGAGGCACCAAAGACTGCGGCCCCCGCCGCGCGCACCGGCATCATCGCCGGCTTCAACAAGGGCCACAAGACGACCCGCCGCGCCCGCGCCCCGTCGTCGAACGACCGCTACGCCCTTCCGCACAAGAAGCTGCGCGCTGTCAAGGCGATCATCACGGACCTTGTCGGCCTCTCCCCCATGGAGAAGCGCGTGCAGGAGCTGCTGCGTGTCGGCAAGGACAAGCGTGCGCTGAAGTTCTGCAAGAAGCGCCTCGGTAACTTCAAGGCCGCCAAGAAGAGACGCGCCAAGATGGAGGAGGCGCTCCGCCACCAGACCAAGAAGAAGTAAGGTGTCAGCAGCTCGTGATTTCTTTGTTTTTGTTACCAATATTTATTCCTTGCTTGCTGCGTACAGTGTCACTTCACGGTATCCTGCCATGGCGTGCTAGAATCCACGCGGTGTCTCTCATCCTTTTCCTTTCGGTGCTTTCCTTTCGCGTCTTCTTATGCCGCTTCTGCGTGCAGTGGTGGATGGGGCAGTGGTAGTAGGGAAGGCGGATGCTTGACGAACACATGGAGGCCATCGCGGCGGCGCTCTCCCGCGTCTGTGTCATGCGGGCCCTCGACTGCACGGTACTCAGGAGCGGCGTGTGCGGCGTGGTGGAGCGGAATGCGTGCGGCCGCCGCGAGTTGTGGCGGGTGGAGCGCGAGGCCTCACTTATCGCAGAGCTCCGCGAGTGGCAGACCACCTTCGTCGCCGATTGGACGCGACAGAAGGCGGAGTGGCGCCGCAGCCGCAGCGGGGCCTTCCGCGAGGTGGAGGACGACTGCCGGGCGCTGGCGTGCTATCTCACGCGTGCAGACTTCTCTTCGAGTCCATTCGCAGCGCTTGAACGCGGCCGGCGGCTCTTCGCGTGGGCGAGCACTGACGCTTTCCGCACAGCAGCAGCAGCAGCACGTGACGAGGCGCTGGCTCTCGCCGAGGAAGTGTGTCCGGCGAAGACGGCGGAGGCGAGTAGCACTCGCCGGTTGCTGCTCCAGTCACGCCGGTCGTGGCGTGTGTTGTTCTTTGTATGGACGCGCTCCGCGTTGGCGCGTGCGCTGCCCCCGTCACACTCGGACTGCGCGCTGCTGACGGCGGTGGTGGAGGAGTTTCTGCACGAACAGAGGCGCGACTTCCGTGTCAAACTTCTGACCGCGGGAATGGTGCCATCCGCGTGACTTCTCTGTCTGCTGTTCTGTCCTCTTACGTCTCTGGTTCTGCAGCTAGCGATGCGGGGTGACGAGAGCAACGGCTGCTGTACCGTCTGCGGCGCGAGCACGGCGGGCACCAGCGCCAGGGTACTGCGCTGCACCTCGTGCCGCTCACTCACACACGCGGTGTGCGCGCCGGCGGAGGAGTCGCCAGTGCCACCGCACTTCCACCGCTGCACGCCGTGCCGCTTCGGTGTCACGCTGAGCCGCAACCGCGCGTTTAATGTCGCACTGAGCGCCCGCCTG